GTGATGATCCTCGACACAGGCAACCTCGTTGACAAATTGCTTAAGATGTTCATAGAGTGTGTAGAGGTCAATTTCGTCCAAATCTATCCGAGATCTGACATCCTTCACTGTCTTTTCCAATGCAGGATGCAGGCTGGATAAAAATCTAATATTCAGTTCCAGATTGGACCTGAATACTTTGATTTTTCTGAGTTCATTTACCAGTTGAACGAGTCTGTTGTAAGTCTCATTCAATGGTTCTCCTGGACCTGCTTTGAAGGAGTCATAAGCAATAAGAATCGTAGTCTTCTTGGTTTTAAGGCTGATGCTTGTGCCTTGGAGCAGCTTCTCTATCTCATCCCACATTTCCTTAGCTGTTTGCATGCTGTCTATGAGAACGTATACTTCATTGGGGATTGCTTGAAGAAGGTATGTTTTGGCCATGAGATCACCACGAAGCCTGAGCCTGTCAGCTTCTGTGTATTCAGATGACACTTTCCTCCTTATTTCTGGAAAAATAGGAGGATTATTTTCTGGATCACCACCAACTGAAATCAAGAGTTCAGCTGGTCCTTCAAGCAATGATTCAAGCATCGCAGCGGAGTGCTCTTTGTGCTCAAGGAAATTAAGGAATCTGTTCCTCCACATTTGGTATTCTCCCTTCCTTAGACTAGGAGGGGTACTGCTGTTCCCTTGCGCATTGAATTCTGAGGCCATTGTTGTACTAAACTGACCATTCGAGAAAATTGATCAAAAGATTTTCAGAGGCAGAAAGTCGAAAAATCAGATGTCGAGATCTGAATATCGAAATCTCAGATTTCGATAAAGGAGGCCCGGTATCGAGATTTGAGCTCGAGATTAAAGATCTCGAGATTAAGGATCTCGAGATTTCAAATTTCGAGAAGCTGATCTCGAGATTTGAAATGTCGAGAAGTTAAAACTCGAAATCTAATTTCGAGATGTCAAATGTCGAGACCAGATGTCGAGACCTTGTTTTCGAAACCTTGATCTCGAAATCCTAGATGTCGAAATCCTCAATGTCGAAATCCTGCAACCTGTAAAAATCAGATAAGCAAAATCTGAAGGTAGTTTCCTGTAGAGTAGAATGTCGAGATCCTCAGGTAAAGTTTTCAGCTCGAAAAACGTAGCAGAACCTGTGAAAAATCAAGATGTCGACAAGCCCTACTCGAGATATCTCGAATACAGAATATGCGTAAAACAAAATCTGAAGTATACCCCTTGATCGCTTTACAAAGATGATTCTAAGGGTGTAACTTTTACAACTTTTGAACAAGAAACAAAGTTACAGAGTGAAATATCGACAGTAAGAACAACGTAAAGAAAAATAGAGTCTTCTACAGGCGTTCTTCTGATCGGCTCTCGATCGGATCTGATACCAATTGTTAGTCCCTGTTTCTGTAACAGCAATGAATAACAATCTAACAAAGAAGATTAAACATAAGGATGAACACAGAATGAATCGATGTAAACCCTCTTTGATAGACCGTGAACTCGTACAACACAAAAATATGCGCGTAAGGCTATGAAGAATAAGTACGACGTTAACCTAATCCTAAACCCTCGGCTCCCTTTTTATAGGCGAGGTTTAGGTTAGGCGTACAAGGCTTTTAGCCTGTTTATATGGGCCTAACACTTGGCCCGATTGCTATCTAATTCATGCACTAATTTAAATACAAGGATTAAATACAAAGCTAATCTATGACAAACTTGATTCACAATTAAATATCTCCAACAGAGAATGCTACGGTTTCATATTTACACAACTATACTGCTACAAATAAAACTTGATGAATACTATTTTCTTCAAACTACAAAAAATTACTATTGGTTTTAGACAAATATTACTATTGGCTGAAAATTGGATCATGAAACGATTTGACAAAAATGATTTACAGTGTTCTCACCCGTTTCTCCAGTTCTGTTTCTTTTTCTACATTTTAATCCTTTTCACCACGAGGAACCACTTCATCATTACCTTCAACTTCTTAACCAGGATCAACAAATGTGGTTACTTTTGGTTTGGTAAATAAGTCGATCTACAACAGAGGTGGGAAGATCAAAGTTCTCCAATATTCTCATAGCTCTCATGTTTTTTCTAACATCGCTGGATAAAAGGATATGTGTGAGGAATTATAAGCTATGAGACAAGTATTGAAACAGATAGTTCACAGAACAATATATGAACACATTTATCAAAATAAGCTATGAGAAAAAATTTGACAACCATTGGTGCCCTAAAACACATTTATTAGTGATAACACATTTGAAAGATCATAACTTTATTAAATGCTAAAAGGACATAGGTGAATGTGTGCTTATAGAGATGATACTCTACCTTAAAATGGTGTAAAATCATTGATACTATTCACAGGAAGTGTGAAATGTTCTTCACAAAAATGATGGAGAGAAAGTATGAAATGTTGAAAGTAAACTTCTCAAATTTTCTGTTTATTAAACTTACTTTAATTTAAAGTTAAAAAGAAACATACCTTCTTTTTCTTAGAAATGAGCCATCATTAAATAACTTTGAAACCTTTTAGTTTGAAGTTGTGGATGGCCACGGACAAATCTTATCATCATTAAAAAGATAGTGTATTTTAATGAATAGAGCATCTAAACAATCATATGAACAAAAAACAACACAACATTCAATTGTGAAGAAGTTCATCCTTGAGTGTAATTGTTTATCTTTTGTGCAGGAATTTGAATGCGGGGAACACTTGTCCATGTGATGGTAGAATAAATTTTATAGGCAGCCATTGGAATTAAAAAAAGTTAAGGTTTAGTATGTACTCGTAGTATTTAATGCAGATTCATCTAGAATATATATGAGATGTATTTGTTCATCTCAAACGGAACTAGTCCCTGGACATGAAAAGCCGGCCAACTTTGTTGAGAACATGAAAAGACTCCAGAACAACTTCCAACCGTCAATGGTATTCTTTCTAGATAAGACAATCAATTATTGCAATTGCCCACCCATATCAATTGCTTTTCAATTATGCGGCCCATTTATTGTTTCTATAACAATTGGCCGACCATTCAAACAATTTACTATAGAATTTTAAATTTTGAATTCCAGCTATCCATCCAATGTCCTGGCCCAAATTCCCTCTCAAACTCTTTTGTTATTATATATCTATAGATTATTATTATTGTTATTATTATTATTATTGCCTCCACTAATCAATACTCCCTCCGGTTCACAATAAACTTTCCAGTTTGACTCAACACAGATTAAAAAAATAAATTTGACTTTACTGTGGAGTGCACTGTTTGGCATTGTTTAGACATTGTTTGGCACTGTTTGACACTGTTTTGCACTATTTTGGTGTAGATAATTTGCCAAATAAGGAAATGGGAAGAAGTGTGAAGTTAATTTCGGGATTGCCCGAAAAAGAAAGTGAGAAGTTGTTTACGAACCGGAGGGAGTAGTATCACAAATTGTACCGTGGGATCGGCCCACATTCCGCATGGTGTGCCGATCCTACTTTAGGCAAGTTCATTTTCCTTTTCTTTCTTCCTGTAGCAACGTAAATCCCTTTTCCATTGTTTTTCTTTCTTTATTTTTCTTTTGTTCAATTCTTTCCTTTTTCCATCAAATTAAAATACTAAAAATGTAATGGCAATCATAATTTTCTTTATCTTCATCTTAAATTATAATTGAATCTATTTTTTTATTCTTTATTAATGCATAACAAAAAGTTTATTAATCTAAATAAAATAAGTACATTGCAATTAATATTCATACACTATTTTTGTTTTTGTATTAATTTTTATATTCATATACTTTTTCTTTAATATACTTTTTATATTCATACACTTTTTTGTTATATTTTTTATATGGACAAACTTTTTCTATAATATAACTTTTTGATCACATTTATATATTTTTAGAGGTTTTTAAGACATTGAGTTTGTTTGTTTTGATTTTTGAAGTTAATTTGATATTATATCATGAAGTTATATCTTCTTCCGCGCGTGTTACATCTTAGTGTACACGAGTTACATCTTAATATACACGAGTTAAATCTTAATATATGTGAGTAACACCACGGAATAAACCCCTGCTATATCATTATTATAGCCCTAATATTAAACATAAAACATATTCACTATTTAGAAAAAGTATGTAATTAAGCTATTAGGATCAATTTTTCATTATTTTCATTGAAATCAATGTTTATGACATATATATTATTCTCAAACACACACAAAAAAAATGTTCAATTTTTCAACAAGTTACATTCTGTGTACATCTAAGTTATATTTGCCTTCAACACGAGTTACATTAAAAAATCAACCCCTCCTATTGAATAAAAAACTATTTTAAAAAAAAAATATTTTTTATGGTCATGATATTAAAAACAAAACATATTCACAATTTACCTAAAGCAATTGTGAAATTAGACTCGATCTTTTTTTTCATTGTTTATATTGAAATTAATATTGTATTTCTAATACTATGTATTTGACAAGTTACATTTCGAATGCACTTGAGTTACATTAATTAATATCATAAGTTACCTATCTTTACTCGCAAATTACACCATTCATGCACTGGGACAAAAAGAAAGAAAAAACAGTTACTATAAAGGCTACGTCGGAGTTAGAGGTGTACACCGATCCAAAACCAGACCAGACCGGACCGGAACCGGTTAGGACCAGAACCGGAATCATCATTTTCTATGGACCGAAGACCGGACCTGAATCTAACCGTTCCGGACCACTCCGGACCGCTCCGGACCTGAATTTTCCGGTCCGGTCCAGTTTTGACCCTAATTGACCAGATTCTAGAAAAAGACATATTCTGTCAGAGAGATCTTAAGCGATCCAATTTTTTTTTAGGAGTAGTATGCAGCACTCTTTCAAAGAATCTTTTATCCATATTCTCTAGTCACCTCATCAACGGCATTGATTACCCCACATGGCAACCATCCGAAACTTCCATTTCGCTTCCACGGCTCTTCCTCCCTGTTTTTAGTTCATGACCGTGCATCTGTGACACTACGGAAAGAATCAAAGAATTCCCACTACCTTTTCTACCTATCCCCCCCAAGCATCTCATCGAATCCAGAGAGAAAAAATTCCGGCGACCGGGAAATCCCAGACACAACCCTATACTCTGTTCCGATCTTTCGCTTTCTCCCTGATCTGACTTGGTTTCGCAGCTCCAACCTTTCGACATCACGGAAGATCAATCAACTCTTTTGGCTGCAGGTCTATCCGCATTACAACTTACTGCAAGGTTTTAGTTCGTTGAAAAAAATCTTCTGTGCCATTTTGAGCGCTTCTTGTGGGAATTTCTTTCAGGACTGAGTAAGCTATAGAAACTAAAGATTTTTCTCATTTTAGACGCGTCTATTATTAGCTGATATTGCAGCTTGCTTTTCCTAAGTCGTTTGTAAATGAGTACCCCGGCTAGATTTATGGAATTTATACAATTTGTATGCTTACAAGTCACAGGTTATCATGGGTTTGCTTTTCCTGAATAGTTTTGGTTCTGTTCTATTGCTGTAACATTTAGGTGGATCACGTAATAATCAAATATTTTTCAATCACCATGGTTTTAAAAATTATACATTTTTTAGCAAAAAAAGTACTGATTTTTTCATTGTTTCTGTGGAGCCGGCAGCTTTAATTTCAGTGGGCATTTATATTGCCATGTTTTGCTTTGTAGTTATTGATTAGTATACTTATTAAGCTCTGTCACTGGAAATATAAAATAGGTGATCATTTTGAAGGAGGATAAAAGAAGAAGAAGAAAGAAGAAAGAAGAGGAGGCCTTTCGGTCTGATGGCACCAAGCACGATTAGGAAAGCTATCGGGACTGTGAAGGACCAGACAAGTATAGGGATGGCTAAGGTGGCTAGCAACCTGGCTCCAGAGCTGGAAGTGGCTGTAGTGAAGGCGACTAGCCATGACGATGATCCGGCACGCGAAAAGTACATTAGGGAGATACTCCGTTTGACTTCATATTCCCATGGTTATGTTAGTGCCTGTGTGTTTGCAGTTTCCAAGAGGTTAGGGAAAACACGAGACTGGATTGTCGCCCTCAAATGTTTGATGCTTATTCACCGCCTGCTCAATGATGGTGACACAGTATTTCAGCAGGAAATCTTGTATGCCAAGAGGAGAGGCACACGACTGTTGAATTTGTCTGATTTTAGGGATGAGGCGCATTCGAACTCATGGGACCAATCTGCTTTTGTCAGAACTTATGCCTTATATTTGGATCAAAGGTTAGAGGCAATTCTATTTGAAAGGAATGGAAATGGGGGAGAGCTTGAAAGATATAGGCCATATGAAGATCAGCAACAGAGATCACACGTTGACTCGAATAGGGTTTATTATGAGATGAAGAGATCAAGATCATCTGGGGATGTTAGGGTTTCAAGCCAAGATACGAAGGACGTCACCCCATTGAGAGAGATGAAGCCTGAAAGAATATTTGGAAAAATGAGTCACTTGCAGAGGTTATTAGATCGGTTCTTATCATGTCGACCAACGGGGTTGGCTAAGAATGAAAGGATGATTTTGGTGGCAATGTATGCTATGCTGAAGGAGAGTTTCAAGCTGTATTCAGATATGTGCGAGGTCTTAGCTGTGTTATTGGATAGATTTTTTGACATGGAGTATCAAAATTGTGTTAAGGCCTTCGATGCTTATGCCAATGCAGCTAAGCAGATCGATGAGCTTTCTGGGTTCTATAATTGGAGTAAGGACATTGGCCTAGCAAGATCTTCAGAGTATCCAGAAGTGCAAAGAATTACCAGCAAGTTATTGGATACCTTGGAGCAGTTTTTGAGGGATAGGGCGGCTCTTACAAAAAGCCCTGAGAAAAAGGTGGAGAGTCAGCCAGAAGTAACCAAGGAAGAGCCAACTCCTGATATGAATGATATTAAGGCCTTACCTCCACCTGAAAAGTATACTCCTCCTCCTCCACCAGAGCCTGAACCCTCTAATGCTATTGTTAATCAGGAAAGCGTAGTTTTTTTGGTAGATTTGAGAGATGATGGGATATCTGCAGATGATCAGGGGGCAACCAATTGGCATTGGCATTGTTTGCCAAGCCTGAAGGACAAAATGCTGAGCAAGAGGTGAAATCTGCTTGGCAGAACCCGGCAGCTGAGAGCGGTAAAGCAGACTGGGAGCTGGCTTTAGTGGAGTCTGCAAGTAATCTGTCCAATCAGAAATCTGCAATGGGGGGTGGGCTTGATCCATTACTGCTCAACGGAATGTATGATCAGGGGATAGTGAGGCAACATGTGAGTACAGTCGGGTTGACTGGTGGAAGTGCTAGCAGTGTGGCACTGCCTGGACGGGGGAAGATCGAAACACATGTATTGGCACTTCCAGCACCCGATGGAAACGTCCAGACAGTTGGGCAGGACCCATTTTCTGCTTCTTTGAGTTTTCCGCCACCTTCTTATGTACAAATAGCAGACTTGGAGAAGAAGCAACAGTTTATGGCGCATGAGCAAATGATGTGGCAGCGGTATGCGAGTGATGGGATGCATGGCCAAGCTGGTTTGGCTAGGATCAACACCGGTGCGTATTATACACCTGGTCAACCATCAGTTTTGCCTTATGGATTGCCACTGGGAAACGGGATGGGAATGCCAGCTTCAGGGTACCATTACAGCCCCTATTGATTTTGTTGTCCCATGTTTTCACAGTTTTTTTAGTTTGTGGTTCCCATAACTGGCATTGCCATTGGACCCTTTTCCAATGGACTTAGTGTAAGTAGGCCAATAAAGGGTAGATGATAGAAGATGAGAGATTTGCTCCATGTATGCTAAGTAGTGCTTCTTTCTGTTCCGTTACATTTTGGGTTATGTTTATATTTTTGTCTTTGTGTTTTGTGAAGCTTATTCTATAACATGTATCTGAGTCCAATGGTATTTAATAGGGAAAATTCCCGGAATAGTAGTAAAAAAACTTGAAAATTCCAAAATATGATTATCATGTTTTTATTCCCAAAATAGGTCTAATTACTGTCAAGTTTGGAAAATACTGTCATGTTTAAAGTCTAGTGCTGCCAAAACATGGCAGTAATTAGTTCTATTTTGGGAATAAAAACATCATGATCCTATTTTGGAATATAGGAATGTTTCTAGTCCTATTTTGGGTAATTTCTCTAAAATTTGCTTGGCACAATATCCGGATAAAAAACTGTATCTTCTGTACTTCTGTATTTAATAAAACTTACACAGTATTTGTTAATTATATTAAAGTTATCATATCTAGTTTATATGAGAAATTATTATGTCTGATGAGATAACACTCATTTTATGACTTCATACTCACTAGTCACTTAAGAATATCAACTAAATGACTTCTTACTCACTAGTCACTTAAGAGTATCACCTAAATGACTTCTTACTCACTAGTCACTTAAGAATATCAACTAAATGGCTTCTTACTCACCAGTCACTTGAGAATATCACCTAAATGACTTCTTACTCACTGCTAGTTAAGAATATCACCTGTCAGGACATAAAACTACATTCTACCCCCCTCTCATGTCACTTTGTTGATATCCTAACTGAATTTTTTCTACTCCCTCCGTCCCTAAATGTTTGTCACACTTTGACTTCACAAGTTTTAAGAAGATGAATTTGACTTTACATTGTAGCGACATTGTTTCACACTGTAGCGGCACTGTTTGGCACTGTTTTGCACTGTTTGACACTGTTTGGTATAGATTTGTTTACCAAATAAGGAAGTTGAAAAAGTATGACAAACATTTTGGGACATCCGTTTCGAGAAAGTGTGACAAACATTTAGGGACGGAGGGAGTATTATATTTAAGGAAGAGTGCGTGTAGTTAGGTCCCGTTTAAGGGTATGCTTAGGGACCTTCATTCTAAATTTCTAATTCAATCCGTAAATGACGATGAAGAACTGTTTTATTTAGAGCTCGTTTGATATCACTGAAATTGGTTGAATTGACTGATTCTGTTGAAATTTATGAAGTTCTGGTTGAAGTGGTTGTATTGGTTGATTCTGATGATTTATGAAAAAATTATATTTAAAATATTTGTTATTAATAAATAAAATAAAAAATTATATGAAAAAGTAGCTAAAATGATGCTCTAACTTCAGCCAATACAGTTAGAAAAGTGACTTCAACCTTACTTTTTCTTATTATTACGCAATACAGCGCGGGAAATAAAAAATTACGTGTTTGGTGAAAAAATATGACTTATAAACCTGATAAGCCGAAAAATGGGGCTACCAAACGGCTCTTATTTTGTTCTTATGGCTTACAGCTAGACTGTAGGCTGTTCATGCTGACATGCATGAAAGGATAAGATTAACGTCATTAGAATAATAATAATTTCTGAGTGCAATTACGAATAATCTAGAATTTGGTGGCTCAAGTAACTTGGTGGAAGAATATTGGAAATTTATGAAGCAGCTTTATCAGTGAGAAATAATGTTTGATGAAAACGACATGAGCATTATCTTGTTCAAGAAATCCAATACTTCAAGACCAACGAGGATTGGACTGGTGAGTCCTGCCCACGATCGAGATCGGCAAGCCCAAATTCGAGATGAGTATTTCATCAGCTCAGCCCAATCAACCTACCAGCATGGTAGGGAGCCGTCCATCAGCCTCACAGGGAGCCGACTTATGAACATGGTAGGTAGCTGACCTACCAGCCTAGTAGGGATGTGATCTGCCCTTAGTAGGAAGCCTCCACCAGCCCAACAGGGAGGCGACCTACTAGCCAAAAAGAGCAATAGTCAAGACAATAAGTATATCGATTAATACTGCAGTTAATTTTATGTTAATGTTGTAGTTAATTAATCATTTATTGAATATATGTGGTTTTATTTTGTAAACTAAGTAAGAGTATGTAAACACACCAGGCCTAAACAATAGGAGAAACATACATGTTCCAGAGCTTTACGAGACTAGATAATATCAGACTTAAACTTAATAGACCAGACACGATAAGACTATTTCAGTCTAATTGAAAACATCCTTACTCGTACGTGGTATCACAACAAGGTTTTTCCAAACCTAAATTTATTTTTTTACTCTAAAAGTAACCGACATTATTAATTAAATGTACTTGGTTTTCATGTGATAAAATATGGCAAGTTTGCATTGCATACACAACACTGTTTACATCAACTCTATCTTGTTAAAACTTGGCATATCATATACACTCCTGTAAAGTCGATGATATGTGATAATGTTTTTATTTCTTGGCTTGTCGTCAATTTTAATCAACATGCTCTCGTGACAAGTACATTCAGATTGACTGCCCTTTAGGAGAATTTGGATCCTCTGCAGTGACTGAAAAATTCACATTGAGAGAGATAGAGATGGAGGTATTTAGAGTGTGATATATGAATGAGTAAGATAGAGAAAAATGTATGATAGGAAAAAAAATGGATGGAAAATGGAGAGGACCAAAACACTTCTTTGGAGAGTCTATGGCCCTTCACAATCTTGTTGCGCGTTATGTATTTACTCAACTATAACCGACATATATCTTCATAGAAAAGTTTTCTTTTGGGGGAATTTGACTTTGCACCTCACTTTTTGAATGATATTGGACTTTGCACCTCATTTTCAAAAAACTTTGACTTTGTACCCTCATTCTACTTAAAAATCTTTTGACTTTGCACCTTATTCACAAATTTTCCTTTACAAAATGTTATGTGATGGGGTGCAAAATCAAAGTTTTTTTTCAAAATGAGGAATAAAGTCCAATATTACCCAAAAAGTGAGATGCAAAGTCAAATTCTCCTTTTTCTTTTCAACCATTAGTTTGAGTTTTTAGTTCATAGTTCATTAGTGTGAGAGCAATTTGTTCATAGTTCCTTTTCACACATGTTGAGATGTTTAATAATTCATTAATATATTAACACTAAGAAACCATATGTGTTATTTCGTAATTTGCACTCTTTAAATCATTGCAAATATATTCTATAAAATAAAATCATTGCAAATATATGTAGTCTAATTAGTGTCACACATATGTACGAAATACCGCCCCTAACTACATAACAACATATAGTTAACCATAATAACAAAAGCTGGCAAGGAATACAACTACTTACAATTGAAAAGAACAATAAAATAAAGGGAAATTACCCAAAATAGGAGCAAATGACATATGGAATTCCAAAAAATAGGACTAGTATGTTTTTTTTCGAAATAGGACTTATTACTGTTATGTATGAAAAATACTGTCATGATTGAAAAATACTATCATTAATTATAATAAATGATGTCATGTTAAATGCACTGTACTGCAACTATTTGGCAGTCACGACTACAAGATGACAATAAATACTGTCATCTATTTTAGTCCCATTTCGGGAATAAAAATAAAGTAGTCCTATTTTAAAATTTCAAACTTCATTTATTCTTATTTTGGGAAATCTCCCTAAAATAAAAGTATATATTGGCGAAAATAAATAAATAAATAGGACGCGGGGTACTGAAAAACAAAACAAAGTTCCTACATATTGAGATGATGACAATAAAAAAAATATGGATAAGGTTTTAGTTGAAAATGACAATTCAACAAATTGTGTTGTGGATTATTATTGACATAGGATTGTATTAGTCGTTTTCCTCTCTTCTTATATGTGTTTTTTTTTTGTTATTAGTTTGAATCTTGTATGAATGACCTTGAATGTTAGTATTAGCCTTCATCTCTTAAGTTAATTTTAAACCCCAACGTTTTCTTTACACCATCAAATTTAAATATCCAAAATAACTTTATTTTCATTTATGCTTATAATTTGGTAAACAGTTTTTTTTTTCTTACGAGCGAGTTAAACTTAAGAATTTAAATGGAAGAGAAGAGCAAATTATTTATCTCTTTTTAAGATGCTAATTATTTCAGTCGAATAGACCGTGGTCCTACAGGTATGGCAAAATCTTTATTTCCTAGAAAGCACGTACAATAATTAGAAATATAAATCTGCGTTGAATAAATGAAAACAACTGATCGCGTGGCCTAATGGATAAGGCGCTCGCCTCCGGAGCGGGAGATTGTGGGTTCGAGTCCCATCGTGATCGTACGCGCCCATGACTTAATTTTTGCATAATAACCAGCAGTTTTAGTGGATATACATAATCTTTTTGTTCGATTTATTACTCCTTATTTTACCATACGATTTAATTATTATTACTCCTTATAAATTGATGTTTTTTTGACAAAGTTATACAAATTGATGTTGAGAAAAAAGAAAAACTTTTACTAGGAGTATAATCTGCTAACATATACTTCGTATATTAATAAGTATATCGATTAAAATATTTTGAATATCAATATATCCTTTAGTAAATATATTGTTTCAAATATTGTGGCCTATGATATATTTTACAGCAACTATTTTAGATGTAGAGGGTTATTCCTAAGCAAATCAAATAATTTGTGCTCGATTCGCGATTCGAATTCGTATAAGACACTTCGAATTCAGAAAATTCAAATAAGAATATTAAATTTGATTGAAGCTCTTATCAAATACAAATATGAATATCAGTGTATTCGATTCGAACATTAATCAAATAATTGGATTAATAATAGTGGTAATTGATGGATAGTGTACCCGGGAGGTAGCTTATCCGAGGGGTTATTGCGGAGAATAACTAGAGAGAAGTCAAAGAAAATAAGTAAGAGAGAGAGTGTATATTCGATATACTATCCTCCGTTCCATAAAAGTTGCAACAGTTTGACTTTCACGTTTGCCAATGCGCAACTTTGACTGTAATTGTATTTATTTACGTATTAGTAAACATTAAAAAAAGTTAATATATTGGAAATTTACATTAATACAAATTTATTAATATTTTATACATAATGTTTTTATTATATATATTATTAGAAA